GTTCAATAATTTGCTGAAATGACTCAGAGAGTACTATAACCTTGAGAAGGATTGGAATTCCAGAACACTTCATGGTGCTCATGCAGAACTTGTACATGGATTAAGAGGCAGTTGTGTGAACAAAACAGGGGACTACTGCATGGTTTTAAATCAGGAAAGATGTGCATCAGGGTTGTATCCTCTCACCACTCTTACTCAATCTATATGAAGAGCAAATAACTAGAGAAGCTGGCTTATGTGAAGAAGAATGTGGCATCAGGATGGGTGAATGGTTTCTTCATAATTTAGGATGTGCAGATGACCCATCCTTGTTTATTGAAAGCCAGGAGGATTTGAAGCACTTGCTGATGAAGATCAAGGATTGCAGCCTTCACTATGGATTACAACTCAATGTCAAGAAGACCAAAATACTCACAAGTGGACCAATAGATACCATCATGTTAAATGGAGAAAAGGTTGAAATTGTCAGGGCTTTTGTCTTGGCTTGGATGCATAATCAATGCTCATGGAAGCAGCAGTCAAGAGATCAAAAGGTGTATTTAATTAGGTAAATCTGCTACACAAAAGCTCTTTAGTGTATTGAAAAGCAAGTATGTTACTTTGAGGACTAAAGTGCACATGACACAAGCAATGGTATTTTCCCTATATATGGGAATGTAGGACTTTGAATACATGCTTACATATACATATATATGCATATACACCCATATAGACATATTAATATTGGACATTGAATAAAGAAGAACAAAGAAGAACTGGTGCATTTGAATTGTGGTACTGCAGAAGAATATTGAAAATGTCATTGACTTCTTAAAGGACAAACCAGTCTGTCTTGGAAGATGCATGGCCAGAGGGTTTCTGAGAGGAAGGGAGGGCAAGACTTTGTCCTACATACTTGGGACACGTTGTCCGGAGAGTCCAGGCCCTGAGAAGGAAATCGTGTTGGGTAAAGTGGGGGGCAGAGAAGGAGGGGAAGGTCCTCGTGAAGATCAATTGACATCTTGGCTGCAACAATGGGTTCAAGCATAGGAGCAACTATGAGGATGTAGCAATGCAGAGCAGTGGTTTTTCTGTTGCACGTAATGTTGTTATGGGTTAAAACTCACTCAATAGCACCTAATAACAACAACAACAAATTGAAGAATCTCCCAATGCAACTAACAAGCTGGATCCAAACTTATACCTAAAGGATATACTTTAGAAATAGTTTTTTTTTCTCAAGCACATAGGGAACACTTCTTGTCAGAAGTTATCAAAATGTAGAGCATAAAGCAATCTAAAAATTATCTCAATAGCCCCTGTAATATAAATATCAACTACTTTCCAGAATGCTATTTTGTTAGAAAAATAATAACAAAATTATAAACATATTAGTCAATAAAGCAATTGATATCAAAATAACAATGAGATATTACCTCACCTTAGTATGAATAGCCAAGCTGAACAAAACAGAAAACAATAAATGTTGGTGAGGACCTGGAGAGACTGGAACCCTCATATGCGCTTCATGGGTTCATAAAATGGTACAACTACTTTGGGAAACAATCTAGTGCTTCTTTTAAAAATTAGAAATAAAAATGTCATATGACTCAACAATCCAGCTCCTCAGTGTATATCCTCGAAAAATGAAAGCCATGATAAGAAGAGATATATGCATACCACATTCATCATACCATTATTCACAAGAGCAAAAAGATGAAAACATTCTAATTGCCCTTCAGTGGAAGAATGGATAAACAAACTAAATTAAATATAGACAATGGAATACTATTCATTAAACAATAATGATGAGCCTGAGAAACACCTCATAATATAAATGGAACTGAAGA